ATGCAGCAGCTGTCGGTTCATTTATTATACGTAACACATTAAGACCAGCTATTGCACCAGCATCTTTTGTCGCTTGACGCTGCGAATCATTAAAATAGGCAGGTACTGTGATGACTGCATCTTTCACTGTTGTACCAAGATATGCTTTAGCTGTTTCTTTCATTTTAGTTAACACCATTGAGCTTATCTCTTCGGGTGCAAATCTCTTCTGTTCGCCTTTGAATTCGACGTTAATTTTTGGTTTACCATTGTCGTTTACCACTTTAAATGGCCAATGTTTCATATCTTCTTGTATTTTCTGGTCATCATATTTGCGGCCAATCAATCGTTTAGCGTCGAATACTGTATTCTTTGGATTCATTGCCACTTGGTTCTTAGCGGCGTCACCAATCAATCGCTCAGAATCTGTGAACGCAACATAGCTGGGTGTTGTACGATTGCCCTGGTCATTAGCGATGATTTCAACTTTTCCGTGCTGGAATACACCGACACATGAGTATGTTGTTCCCAAATCAATTCCAATTGCTGACATTTTCTTTCTTTATATGTATTCTTGTTTATTGATATTTGATAGTAATTTTTCAATTTTTCAATTTAAAATTTTTAATTCAATTCAATTTAAGTTTTAATATATATGGCTTATATATTGCTTTGAATAGTTTTCTTTCTTTTTAAACTTTTCACAAAAACTTTCTGACTTCTCCTCTTCTCAGTCAATCTTTTCACTTCAAATGTTTTGTATAAACTGATGCTCTTCGAATTTTCACCGCCTTTTATACAAAAATCTACATTTCAAAGAAGTATCTAGATACTCTTTCAAGAAACTTACAGAATATTCGGGAACCAAATGTTCAAGATACGCGACCAATAAATGAAGAGTTTAAGAGAAAGACAAATTTAAACACAAATTTAAAGAGTTCAGTGTATGCACACATTTTACCAGCTGCACAATAGTGAATATTAGCTTAGTATAATTGTGTGTGTAACGTGACAAACACAAGCACTCTCTTAAAATATTATAAAGGGAACATTAGAGTGCATTAGAGAACTTATTTATATAAAATATGTAAATGTGTGTGAATATGTTTTTCTGCATTGCCTCTAGAAATTTCCAAACAAACGTTATGAATGAAATGGTTTTATTATCGCTGTATATTGACCCGCTACGTCACAGCAACTTCTAGAATTGCCATTGAATTGCTACGACCAGAGACGCACAGCTTTGTACCAACAGTACTACGGTACTACGAAACTACGGCACTACGGCACTACGCTACGACGGTACTTGTGAAGAGAAAATTTTCATTTATAATAACAAATAACAAATAAAAATAACAAATTTCAATTTGTTGTCAATATATGCAAATTCATTTATCAATTCATTTTTGCTTATTTTTCAATCTACGACAAACAGACAAGCTTTCGCATATTGACGTAGGTTAGTAATAAACGGTAATTGTGTTTGACGATAAAAGAAAGCAAAATACTTCTTCATTCTCCTATTTTATATCATAGAAAAGGTACAGCGATACGATTTTGATTGATACGATCTATGTTAAGATCTATGTTTGAAACTAACTAAAATAAATAAATAATTTATCAGTTACCAGCTATCAGCTACCAGGTACGAGCTACGAGCTATCTGTATATCTGCAGCTATTGTAAAATTTCTACTCCACTTGCTCTGACATTGAGTACAAATCCTTAGCGATCTAATGTCATTAATATTAATATTACTTTTTTATAGTAGATCTAAATGCTGAAAAAACGAAATGTCTTATCCTGATTTAGAAATAACGAGAAATGTACAGTCCATCATTATTTGTTGTAAACAGCTGTTTGTAGAATCTCATCTTGTAGTATTAAATTCAAAGTTGAAGAAGAGACCACTCAAAACCCACTGACCATAGACGATCAAGTTTTGTGATAATTCTGTTAAAATGCAGGACAAATTTCTTAATCATCTCACATCAAGAATACAATTAGTATTACTTCTACTCTTTAGATAAACTTATACTAAATAGCAAGTCTGTGGAAAGAGCACTTTTTCTATAAATTTTTTGTCTTCAAAGATTATAATTTTGTGGATATCGACTGTGCCTTTACTACTGTATACTTAACGCTATCACAAATTCCCTCTTAAATCTTAAGCGAGATGCAAGTCTGGTCAAAATTTTTAAGATACTACTTATTTCAACCCAATATAATCACCTCAGGTATCAAAACTACACTTGGCACATCTGTAATAGCTGTTCCTATACAGCTGTTATTGAACAGGATAAATTCTGAGTAGGAAGGACAGCTGTAGTACAAATTATTCGATCCTTAGTTTACGTCCCTACGAAAGCTCTTTTTACATCACTTCATTGATTACCATCCAAGTTTCTGATAAAATAATAAACTGGCTAAAGTGGAAATTAAACTAAATATATGTGGTTGGCTATGAAAGTTTGGATATATCAAGTTATTTTTCAGATCAGGAAATCCTCTTGGCCTAAATTGAAGAAATTCGCATCAGTATGCAAAACAAACTCAGTACTACGTTACTCTCTTCTTAATTCGTTTTAATGATCAAACGGCACTAACACATCTATGAAGAATGACAGTTACTGGACGTACACCCGACGACTCTTGAAAACTATCTGTAATCTCTTTGTACTATATTCTTAACCAAACGTAACCTTACTTAAGTTGAAAAGGCTTTGATAAATTTAGGAAAATAAATTATTCATTTCGTCACGGTGGAAAAGTAAAGTCAGTTGCGTTTTAAAATATTACAGTACTGTCAATATATGTATTTACTGAGGCGGTAGATAATAAAAAAATTAGATTATTTTTGTTTTTCATAAATTTTATGAACAATACACAGATTAGCGATGTATTCTATCTTAAACGGAATACATCGAATCCGGATGTGCTAAATATTTAGTTCAGCCAAATTTCCAACTGAGATATGTCATTGTAAAAGTAATAAGACTTATTTTTAATCTTATAGAATATGCCATGCAAGTAGTCACAACATAACATATGCTGTACGCACTGACTTTAAGTGAAGTATGGCAGACTTTTCAAAAGGATTGCTTTCTCACATACCAAAGTTGAGTCGAAACACTTCGTAATCTCAAGCTATACCGAGATGTGAAACTGAAAACGTATATTCGTTTGAATTCCAAACTTAAATAACTATCATGTAAAGAATCTTTCATCCATATAATGAAAATAATAGCATATCAAATGGTTGGAACGTTGATGATACTTTAGGATAGAAGCAAAATACACCTCAAAACAAAAACAAAAACAAAAACAAGAGATAATTCAAAAAATCAGTAGATCAGTAGTGCGCAGTTGAAATAGAACTGAGAAAGATGACCAAATTGATGGCACGACTTATCTGAAGGTACGAATAAATTAGTGATATAAAAAATTTGATAGATTAGGATAGGTAAAATACCAAAAAATCAGAAACATATTTATATTTTTCTCAAAACTTTTATTTATTTCTATTTGTAATTAGTAAGCAAAAATGAAAATCAAGTATCTTCCCAATCAAGTTAAGTAAATAAAACAAATAAATTCATTTTAATTTAAAAATTTTAGACTTTATTTTAAACTAAATATTGTACTTAAAGTTAACTTACACTTAGTTAACAAACTTATTTATTAAATAAATATTTAAACTAGAACACAGTCTTTAAGTAATACAATTTCATCGATAGATCAAATTAACATATACATCTACATCTAAAAATAAGTTTTCACTAAATTACAATATTTACAATTTAAAGTTTACAATTTACAATTTACAAATCTTTGGAATTTAGTCAACTTCTTCAACAGTTGGACCTCTGTAGTTGCCACCACCAAAACCTCCGGCTTGTTGACCGCAACTGGTTGGTTCTGTGCCTGGTTTGCCCTTGCCCTGTTGGTGCATCTTTGTCATAATCGGACTACAAATTTTAGTTAATTCCTCCATTCTATATTCATATTCTTCTTTCTCAGCTGTGGTGTTGTTATCGAGCCATTTTATGGTTTCATTGCATTTCTCAACCACATTATTCTTATCCGATTGATCTAATTTATCAGCAGCATCGTCTATGGCCTGTTTAACATTAAATACATAAGTTTCAAGTTGATTTCGTGCGGCGATTCGCTGTCTCGCTTTTTCATCTTCTTCGGCATACTTCTCAGCTTCATTTACCATTCGATCAATTTCACTTTGCGACAAACGACCCTTATCATTTTTGATGGTTATGTTCTTTACGTTACCAGTACTCATCTCTTTTGCTGCAACATTTAAGATGCCATTTGCATCCAAATCGAAGGTGACATCAATTTTAGGAACTCCACGAGGAGCTGGTGGTATGCCAGTTAAATTGAATGTTCCAAGAAGATTGTTATCTTTTGTCATGACTCGTTCACCTTCAAATACTTGAATAGTGACTGCAGGTTGGTTATCAGCATAAGTGGTGAATGTTTTTGTTTGTTTACATGGAATGCGACTATTACGTTCTATTAACTTTGTCATAACACCACCAGCAGTTTCAATACCCAACGAAAGCGGAGCAACGTCAACTAGTAGTACATCTTGTATTTGACTGCTCTTATCTCCACTCAGTATGGCTGCTTGAATAGCTGCACCATAAGCGACAGCTTCGTCAGGATTAATTGACAAATTTAAACTCTTGCCACAGAAGAATGATTGAAGTAAGTTTTGTACTTTCGGTATACGAGTAGATCCACCAACTAATACAATATCATGAATTTGATTCTTATCCATTTTTGCATCTGTCAACGCTTTTTCTACTGGTTGCAATGTGTTGCGGAATAAATCTGCACAGAGCTCTTCAAAGCGTGCTCGACTTATTTTCGTATAGAAATCAATACCCTCAAATAATGCATCAATTTCGATTGTTGCTTCAGTACTAGAGGATAAAGTACGTTTGGCACGTTCAGCAGCTGTTCGCAGACGACGAAGTGCTCTTGGATTTGAGCGCAAATCCTTTTTGTATTTACGCTTAAATTCATCAGTCAAATAATTCACCAATCTGTTGTCGAAATCTTCACCACCCAAATGTGTATCACCAGCCGTAGATCGCACTTCGAACAGAGATCCTTCATCAATTGTCAAAATCGAAACATCGAATGTACCGCCACCTAAATCAAATATTAAAACGTTCCGTTCGCCCTTCAAGTTCTTGTCTAGCCCATACGCTAATGCAGCAGCTGTCGGTTCATTTATTATACGTAACACATTAAGACCAGCTATTGCACCAGCATCTTTTGTCGCTTGACGCTGCGAATCATTAAAATAGGCAGGTACTGTGATGACTGCATCTTTCACTGTTGTACCAAGATATGCTTCAGCTGTTTCTTTCATTTTAGTTAACACCATTGAGCTTATCTCTTCGGGTGCAAATCTCTTCTGTTCGCCTTTGAATTCGACGTTAATTTTTGGTTTACCACTGTCGTTTACCACTTTAAATGGCCAATGTTTCATATCTTCTTGTATTTTCTGGTCATCATATTTGCGGCCAATCAATCGTTTAGCGTCGAATACTGTATTCTTTGGATTCATTGCCACTTGGTTCTTAGCGG